ATCTCAGCACTTGGAGGCAGAGGCATGTGGATCTCTGTGAGTTCAAGGCCAGCCTGGTCTACTCAGAAAGTTTCAGGTTAGCCAGAGCAACAATAGTGAGACCCTGTCTAAAACAACAATAAAAGAAGCTGAGAAGAACTCTACAGTTTGGTTTAAACGAGCAAATAACCTAATTTTAAGAATTGTGAAGGGCCAATGAGATAGCAGAGAAGGTAGAAGTATGTAACTAGCAGACAAACAGAAAAGAGATGAATGTATCTTAGTCCTTAGAGATACACAAATCAAAGCCTCAACCAGATGCTGCTTCACACCTACTGGACTGGCTTGAATTACAGAATTGGATGAGAAATCTGGGTGTGGTGTGTATAATTTAGTAGAAGCACTAGGGAGGCAGAGACAGGCAGATCTCTGAGTTCAAGGCAAGCCTGGTATGCAGAGTGAGTTCCAAGACAGCCATGGGTACACAGAGAAACCCTGACTGGGAAAAACAATAACAAAATTGGACAATAGATGCTCACTGGAATAGAAATAAACCAGCCCTTCATAACCCGCTGCTGAAAAACAGACTAATTAAAAGGCCCATTGCCCCTCTGTCTTCAGCTTGCTTTAGAACTACAACCCCAGACCCACTAGTTTGAATTTTGAGCAAGCTCCTTGGATGCTAAAGATGAAGCTGATAGACCTGATTTCATTGTTTTTATGGTAAATACTTACTTTTTCACCTATAATTTTACTCCACAGTTTCCTGTATTATTTTTCTAAGACTGTACAGTTTATTGCAGAGCCATCCTGATGTGAGGTTTGGGAGTATTCAGGTTTTGCTGGCATGAGGTTACTCTACAGTAAAAGCCATATCTAACCATGGCTAAGTCTACGGTGACTAGATACATTTTCTTAGTGATGCCAATAATTTTACCTTGCTCTGTTCAATATTTCAATCCTATGAAATACGTGAAAGCACAGTCAGCAACAGTTCATAATTCTAATTGATGTAATCAGTTCAAATACATTGGACACTGTACATTAGGGAATCTTTGGCTTTCTTCCTGAGGACTTGTTGATATCGATAATATCAGTCTCTTTGATTCTATTTAATTATCCATCTGGTGGTTTTAAACTTTGACAAACCTTTTTTCAGAAAAATATTTAAACTTGTCAACAGAGGTTTTGAATATAATTTAGTCTTACATAATAGTATGTTGTTTTGATGTAACGTGGAAACAAACACAATTCTAATAACTATCAAAACTTTATTCTAGTTCATTCATCATTCCAGAAGGTACACATTTAATCAAAATATAATTTGCTATTAATCCAGAATAAATTACTTAACATTAAAGCCCAAACACCTGTCTTTGAATTCACAACATAGCAACACTAGGTGCTTTGCTACAGTATGAATCCTGGTCCAGCCATCAGTTACCACAGGAAACTAACTTGGAAAAATAACCTGACCTATCTGGGCCCCAATTTATGTGTTTTAAAGAGGAAATTTTTAATCATTAAGTATATAGTACAAAATGATGTATTTTATAGTGACAGTTTCATGCAGGTATAGCATATATTTTAATCTTATTCACGCCTCCTTATTATTCTCTTCTGGCACCCCTCATCTAGCTTTCAAATAGTTCCCCCTCTAGTTTCAAGTCCTTTTTAAATTAATTAATTAAGTTTTATGAGACAGGGTTTCTCTATGTAGCCTTTGCTGTCCTAGAACTTGCTTTGAGACCAGGCTGGCCTCGAACTCAGAGATCTGCCTGCCTCTGCCTCCCAAGGGCTAGGATTAAAGGTGTGTACTATCATGCCTTGCTGTCTTTCATTTTTTTAAGTCTAAAATTCTACATAAAAGAAAATGTGCTATTTCTATTTCTGGGATTGACTTACTTTGTTTAACATAATGGCCCCAGTCCCAATATCATCTGAAAGAACATGATTCATTCTTCTTTACAGTTGACTAATACTCTGTTGGAAATTATTTTCATCATTCATGTAGCGACTCTATTGCTTAGGGGCTGTGCAGGTGTCTCAGACTTTGACCTCTATGTTAATCAGTTCTAGTGTCAGGTTCTGAGGAACTCCTATACCATTTTCCATAGTTACTGCACTAATTGACATCCCTGTGTCAATTATGTTGATGAAGGCAGGGGACTCCCTCTTGCCCTCATTCTCCCCAGTGTGTGTTATCCTTTTTATTATAATCATAATGACTGGGTGAGAGGAAATCTCAGTATAATCTTGATTTGTATTTTGCTCATGGTAGAAAATGGTGAACACTTTTTCATAGTTTATTGGCATTTACTTCTTCACGTAAGGATCCTTTAATTCATTTGCCCACTTCTTGATTAGTGTCTAAAATATACAAAGAACTTTTAAGAAATGAATTTGTTTCACTCATTCTATCCTTACTGTCGAATCTGTCATTTCTCCCAAGGTGCTAATTTATGTCTTTAGTAGAGGAAGGATGTTTGTGTGTTATGACACCTTTCCAAAATTGAATTGCTAGATGAAACTAAATTCCATTTAGATGTTATAAACAAAGCCTGCTGTGGTGACGCACACCTGTGATCCCAGTGGTCAGGAGATGGAGGCAGGAGGATTGTGGTGAGTTTGAGATTAGCCTGTGCTGCATAATGAGACACTGTTTTAAAGAAACAAAATCCAGAAATGCTTTCAAGGCTAATCCACACTCTCCTTGTTCCTTTGTATGTTTGGAGCAAGGTGCTTCAGATGTAAATAAAGACAGGTAGATGATAGAGGTAGTCAGACATGGACCAGAAACCCAAGAATTAAAGAGAAGTTTTAGAAAAGACTAAGATAAGAGTATAGAGGAAAGAGAAGGGAAGATATTGTATTTAGGGGTACAACCTGAGCCCTGATGTGTGCTGGAAATAACATGTCACATTAGGGAGTTTTGAGTCACATAACTAGTCAGTAGAGACCGTAACGCTGGTGTTAGCCAAAGGAGGGGACCCAGTTTATAGGAAGATTGGATTCCAGGATGACTCATTTCCTTTACGACAACACTCAGACAGTGAAGAGTGCTGGAGTTTGGGCACTAGGTAGTCATGAAGAGTATGATTGTTGTTTGGTTTTGGAGACAGGGTTTCTGTATGTAGCCCTGGCTGACCTGGAACTCACTTTGTAGACCAGGCTGACCTGGAATTCAGAGATCCACTTGCTTCCGCCTCCTGGGTGCTAGGATTAAAGGCCTGTGCTGCCGCCACCACCACCCAGCTGGAGAGTTTATTTTTTTAAGGAAATGTAATATAATGAATTGCAAAAAGAGATTTTAAAAGAGAAGACAAGCTAGGGAAATATTAAATGATTGGGTATAAAACAGTAGAAGTTTAACCCAAAAGTAGTAAAGAGATAGGAACGTCATTGAAAAGGAAGAAGTAACTTTGTGTGTTGAGTCATGATCTCTTGGAAAGTGAGCTTTGCTTTTTATAAGAGAAAAATCAGAAACCAATTGCAAATAGGAATTAGAAAACAAGTTTGCTAAGTGACTTTTATTTTTCTTTTTGGTTCTGGGTGTCAGACCTAGGGCTTTGTGTGTGCTAATAGCATATGCTCTGTCACTGAACCAAGTCCCATCCCCCAGGATACTGAAGAGATGAATGTATTGTGTATATTTTGTATGTGTAAGTGTTTTGCTTGCATGTATGTTAATGCACTGTTTGTGTGCAGTGCCTGAGGAGGCCGGAAGAGGGCGTGGGTGCCCTGCGTGTAAACTGCCCTGTGGGTGCTAGGACCTGAACCTGGGTCCTCAGGAAGAACAGTAGGCACTCTTTCTTTTTTTCTTTTCTTTATTGTTTTTTTGAGACAGGGTTTCTCTCTGTAACTCTGATCTGTAGACCAGGCTGGCCTCAAATTCAGAGACTCAACTGCCTCTGCCTCACGAGTGCTGGGATTAAAGGCGTGTGCTATCACAGTAAGCACCCTTAACACTGAACTATCTAGCTCCAGTGTTGAAAATTTTGTTGAACTTTTTTTTTTATAACAATGGTTGATTAGAATTACTTCATAGTTTTTGTACAAAACGAAATATCTGAAAACTAATGGCTTAGAGCAGTTAGTATCATAATTATTAGGCCTAGTAGTGGTTACTGAGTTTCCTAATATTGTTGAGCTACTCAGTAATGGTTACTGGATTTCTTAATACTGTTGAAATACTCAGAAATGATTATTGAATTTCCAAAACTCCTGAAATACTCAGTAGTTATTTTAATTTTTATAGTTATAGCTTTATAATGGGTGGGAAGGATTCTGGCTAAATATGCTCTAGTGTGTGTGGCCATATTATCAGTCATAAGTCTCATCTCTGAATTAAGGTGCAGAGGCCCCAAGGAGATGCTGCATGGCTCTTGTTGACACTCAGGGAGTGAGCAGTTTCTTTTCAGGTGTAGCCTTTGATTCTTTACATTTGTTGAAATTTACATTCCCATAAGCCTCTTTAGAAAAATATAATTTGTCTTTACTTTGTATAAAGCAAAAAAAAAAAAAAGTTAGAAATTAAGGACATGGCGTGTCCGTAGCATCATCAAATGCTTTGACCAAGACCTCCTTGATCTCACACTGGGGTATGAGGCTTCTAGGATTCAACATTTCGTGAGACATGAAAATTAAATGTACCTCAAAAGGTCTTTTGCCATTTCATTAGGTTTTCCAGTTTCAGCAAGGCCATCTTCCGTTGTGGGTGCTCAGGAAAATGGCACAGGTTTATCTGTAGCTGCTATCTCTCTAGGTTTCCTAGCCTGGCTCAAGTCCTGGGGTTTGATCTGAGAACTAAACCTCATTCTGTCCATAGGCTCGTCGATTTGTTGACATGTGGGCTCCCTAACTAAAATTTGTTGGAATTATTATGTGAAGAATGTGTTGGTTATAGTGTGTTGGGAGAGGGCTGGGCGATTGTCATAATTTCTGCTGGTAGAGTTTCTGAAAGAAAAATCAAGTCAGTGCCTTTTGTTCAGAAAGAGATTTCATGTTATCTGTGTTTGCAGGCTTTCTGGCTCACATGCTGGAGGAATCCTTGCTGCGGGGGTGTTTTCATTTTCTCGCCTAACATGGCAGTGGTCCATTGCAGCCGAGGTTTTTAGTTTAAACAATCTGTTTGTGGGGCTGCTCATGGCGCTTACTGTGCGTTTTGAGGAGGCAGCAGCCGCAAAGGAGAGATCAAAGGTAAGCTATTTTGATCAAAGTGAAATCAGGTTTTGTTTCAATTTTTAGACAGAAATGTATTTCTTTTTAACTTTGATTTAGACCATATTTATCTTTTCTGATTCCTGTGAGGGTAATCTGGGCAGGTGGAGAGCCTGTCCTCAGACCCTTTGTTAGGATGGAACCAGGGTAGCTCTCAAGCATGGCACTTTCCCTTCTCAAGAGTTCAGAAGGGTTTGGAGAATGGGAATTATGAAATGTTTAGTGAGTCCTGATGGAAGGATAGGTTTGGTTCATACATCACTGTGTACATGTGTGTGTGTGTGTGTGTGCATGTGTGTGTTGTGATGAACCATCTTAAGGTATATACAATGGTAGTACTTTGATTCCTCACTAATCACAGGAAAGATCGCAGTTATAAATTATTTTCAGCCAGAGAACATCAGATATAAAAACCCAGATAGCTGAGAGACGATGGCAACCACAGCTCTCTGCAGTCTGAAAGGGCCTTGTCTACTAAGCTCTTTTCCCTCACTCCTTGGAAGACTATCTCATCGTAGCTCAGGCTGCCCTGCTCTTAGAGCACAGAAACAAAAGGTAGCATGGGTTATTTGTGGTTCCCGTAAATCTCCGGGGCTATTATAGTGTTTGTCTTAAGCACCCTTCTTTTCCGATTGTGTTTAAAGAAACAGGAAACATATACCGTGTATTCGTGAAGGGACATAGGCTTTCTTGGGTTTGCCATAGGGACCATAGTAGTGGGCTTAACTCCAAACACAAAGAAAAGTACAAATATATAGCCAAGGAGCCAACAAGGAATCAGAGAAAGGTCACTGATAGGAAACTTAAGGATAAAGGGGATTTGGGTCAAACCAAGTTCACAGTATCCTTGGGAGGGAGCAGACCCCTGATGAGATGTGGAGCTGGGGAAGGTGGGATGTGGAAGTGGGAGCTCAGGATCTGCACTGTGATTGGACAATGGAGAAGAGTTCAAAGAGGCCTAATTGCTGTGTAGTCAAGGAGAGGATCTTTATCAATTATGAAACAACTACATGTTCAGTAACAACTAAAAGCCACCTACAAGATAACCAGGGTTCTAAATAAACTTTTGTTCTAAATAAACTTTTGTTTATTTAGTAGGAAAAAAAGTAAAGCAGAATTGTTGAACTTCAATGACAGATTTCAGTTAAGAATGATACAATGTACCCTGTTACTTACTGTGTAATCATTGCAAGGGGCTTCCCTGGAGTCACTTTGAAGATAGCCTTAAGGTCAAACTGTAGGATTTTATGAGAATGGGGGATGAGGGAGTTAGCGAACAACAGCTGCTGATAAATATTAGTGACTGTTGGCATCTCAGGGCTTGGTTCTAACTCAGCCGGGCAACCAGAAGCTTCACAGGTGTGTGGAAAACTTTTTACTGTTACATTTAGAGGTTTAGGTGAAGTTTTGACTTAGTGTTTCTTTTTCTTCCTCAGATAGCAGTCATTGGTGCTTTCTCGTGTGGCCTCAGCTTGTGTAATCAGCACACAATAGTACTCTATGTTTTGTGCCTAGTGCCCTGGATTCTCTTCCGACTTCTCAAAGAGAAGGTAGGCTTCATATATATATATATACATACATACTGTTTCATATAGGTTCAGTTCAACATTTGTGCTATCTGAAAATTTAGGCTTCAGTGTTTCTTGAGTTTTATGGAAAGCATGAATGACCTGAGGCTTTAATGATATTGACTTTAAAAAGAGGATTTACAGAATTATGCAGTATTGATTATGCTGGCATCTGGCCAACTTCATAATTTTCCTCATGATTCTTGACAGCGCCTCAGTATAGAGGCAGAAGGACTGAGAACAACAGTATCAAGTTTCCTAACTGGCTTTCTTGCGCATCCTAAGATTCAAACAGTCAAGTGGTGCCACTCAGTCCTTCATTCAAGTACTGAGTTCAGTCTGTGCGGCCAGCTCACTCCAGGTGCTGGAGACTGGCACAACAGAGGCATCACTGCTAATGTGAGCTCACTGAAGTCGGAAACGATAGTCCTGTTTGTTCCGAGTCTGTAGAACTCCTCCTTATAATTGAAAACTGCTCATTTCCCTTTTATCTTTCTCTGGAAGGAAACAGTAATGTTAATTAAAATGGCAGAAAGAAGCAATGCAGGAGAATTTTCTTTGTTAGATTCTGGGAGAGTCAGGTAGAAAAAAGCAGGTGTGAGTTAGACATGGACTCTGAAAAGATAAATGTTCTTCTTCTGTCACTGTTCTTCTAGAAGGTGAAATACCCAGTTTGTAAAGCAGCACTGTGTGGTCATTTTATTTATTGTTTCTTTGTTAAGAAACTCAGTGATATTCATTTTTCATTTTGTTATTTGTTAATTATACCCAACTACAATCAAAATTGTAATCGAAAACACATAAAGCATATAATAAAATTCTTATATGGAAATAAGAAAATAATTATACTAAAGCTTTAAATAATTGTATTTACTGTACTTTAACACATCTTGGTAACAAGGCAAAAAAGGGAGATTATGAAATTCTTATTATGTGATTAAGTAAAAAGGAAACAATAGTTGACAAAGAACAACTTTTCTTAGAATTTAGTTCTGTGACATCCGTTGTGTAAGTCCTACATGGGGGATATTGAACAGCTTAACCAGCAGCACATTTTTACATTGTTACTTGTTGATGTTTGGTTCTTTGACCCAGAGTCTCAGGGTGCTTAACAGTGGTTCTATAGAGTATACGGAAAGTTCTTTAAATAATGCTTTGTGATATAAACCCTTGGTAATAGATGAAGACATAACTGGATGTGATGCTTCTTGCCTAAAATCCCAGCATACAGGATTCTGAAGCAGGAGGTTTGAGAGTTTAAGGCCAGTCTAGGCTACACGACAGTTTGAAGACAGCCTGGACTATAGAGAGTTTGAGGCCAGGTAGGTTTAAATCCCAAAATGTATGAATGTGAGTCAAGAGGTAACACTTAAAAGCGTAATTCAGCGAAAGCCTTTCTAAGCCGTAGAACAGTGGCAGCACATGCTTCATCCTGAATCCCTGGGAGCCTGGCTGGGGTTGGTGAGCAACCTGCCCGCTCTGCGTTCAGACCCTGCCTCAGCAGAGGCAGACAGCTTTAGCCTCTGGAAAGCACCTCCTAGTTGACTGGAAGAAGAGCCATATAATTTGTGTAAAGTTGGGACTCAGAGCTAACAGCTAGAGAGCCTGGACTAAGGAGCTGTTACCCTGTCCTGGGGAAGGCTACTGATGAGTGGTTAGATTTTGACAGCCGGAACTCTTCAACATTGCTCTTTCATTTCTGTTAGATAGCAGAAGGGAAGTCAAAGGAACCTCTATAGTATAGTAGTATATGTGAGTGTCTGTGTGTGTTTCTATATGTATACATAGGTATACACATGCATTTATATTGAAACCTGATCCCACTACCATTCTGTGCCTGGAGGGGGAAAAACCCCTCTCAGGTGTTCACTGTGTACAGCTAGGACAGGAAGCACTGCCCAGTCTGTCTGTAACAGCTGCCTGTAATTGTTCCTGTTTATTTCTTACACAAAAGGAAAATAATAGAATAACTGCTTTTTTTTCCATTCTGAATTCAACTTTATGATGTGCTGTGCCTCTAAAACTAGAAACATTCACTTCCCTAGATCCACTTTTAAGAACAGCAGCTCCCTGTTGTTAGATTAGATGGTTCTGCATGCTTTCATGGCATCACTCTTCTGTATCTCGTTCCCACTGTAGAAATCGCAAATGAGATCAGTGCTCCAGTAAAAGCACTTCATTTTCAATTAAGAATGTTTGTTTGAAAATGCAAAGAGAAGTCGACTACTTGTTCTTCTGTCTGTCCTCAGTCCTGGCTCTTATATTCATTCTCACAGATGACTTTCTTGCTTTTGTAATGGAAAAAGTTGGCAGTTTCCAATTATGATATTTGTAAGAGATCCCCTTTCCCGGTTATTAAAGCAAACAAGCCTGAATATCTCTACAATATCAGGATCCACATTGTTAGACTTAATCTTTGAAACTGTTTTCATGTTGTTCTGTTTTAGAAATGCACAGGTGAGGACATTCTCCAGGCAGAGCAGATGAAAGAACGCAATCACATGTGACAGCAAATCCCTTTGGTGTTCCATTAAACATAGATAGAGGAGAGAAACTCGGGTATCTATAAAAGCTAGCTTTGTTTACCCCAAGCACTTCCGTGGTTCTCTTAGACAGAGTCAGGGTGTAATTGCAATGAAGTATGCAGTGAAAGCCACTTCCACTGATAGTGAGGAAGTGAGTTAGCACTGAAGTAGTATTAAGGGCCAAATAACATGCAGCCACTTCTGAGTCTTCTCAGCTGTGCACTGCTGCATGGCATGACATGGCTTAATCCTAAAGGATGTGCTACACCTCATACTCATACATCTCTGCTAATATTTGCTTCACTCAGATTTTACCATGAAAAGGAATCCAGACTGGCGCAATTTTCTAGTAATCTGAAGTAATCAGAATTTTTAACATAGTAGTCTGTGGTGATTTAACATAAACTCAGGGATCAGCTTTCAGCAAGCACATTTGATGTTTCCCTTGATAGGTTTTAGAAGTTCAAGGATGAACAGGCTAAAGTGAACATAATGTGTCCTGTGTGTCCCGTGCAGGAACTCACCCTTAGCTCTCTGCTGAAGCTGACTCTGGCCTTTTGTGCTGGCCTGCTGCCCTATGTCTACCTGCCTGTCTCATCCTACCTCAGTCATGCCCGCTGGACCTGGGGAGACCAGACGACCCTGCGCGGCTTTCTGACGCATCTTCTCAGGGAAGAGTATGGAACGTTCAGCCTGGTAAGCTTGTGTTTGGAGCCTTGCCGAGGAGGGAGACAAGTGGCCGTGCTTGCGGGCTCCGTCTGGGCGTGGCTGAAAGGGCAGCAGGTGCACTTGTCATTTTAATCGCGTGGGAGAAGCAGATCAGACCCTTGGGGTGGGGCTTTTCACCTGGACCGCTCACTGCGACAACAGTACCTCCCCAACGATACACAATGGCATAGGCTTGCTGCAAACTTACGATCTTTGTGTCTCCATTTCCTGGGTGCTGAAATTATGAACGTGTACCCACCGTTGAGTTAACATTTTCTTTTTATTTATTTTTCAATTTTTAAAAATGTTGACTTTTTTTTTATATGCATGGGTGTGTTGCCTGTATGTATATCCATGCACCATGACCAGAGCTGCAGACAGTTGTGAACCACCATGGGGGTGCTAGGAATCAAACTTGATCCTCCCTTAAGCACTTAGCTATTTTCTCCAGCCCTAAAATTTCCCTTCTGAAAAGCATATTTGAATAGTATTCATGTTACGGTTTAGTTTTAAATGGAGAAGCTGTCTATCAGTGCTTCAGAAAATGTAAGCTCACTAAATTAGAGATGCTGTGCAGGCCTTGCTTCCCCAGAGACATAAGGGGGTGGGGGATTAAGTGTAATTGCAGTAAAAGATAAAAGAAAGGGAAAATGGAAGATAGATTATTTTAATACAGACAGTGGTATTAGGGTTTTCTCATATGGCTTGTGTTTTGTGTTTTGCTTAAGAAAATAAATTTCAGAAGAATCCATAATATATGATACCATTGACAGGATTCTAAACCTCTCAAAAACTGACCTTATTGCTCAAGGCTTCATGCAAGAGTCGTGCAGCTTTCTGAAAGGTGAAAGAGAGGCCAGGCAGGATGACACACAAGGCTGAGGCAGAAGAGTCACAAGTTCTGGGCCAGCTGTCTATATTGAGACTATGTGAATGGATGAATACGTACATACGTAATGGATGGGGATAGTTAGGGAAGGAGGGTCCTGCAAGGGCCTGTGGGATACCTGATGGTATTGCTGAGCTTTCATAGCTTTGTCTCCTGGTTTGTTTGTTTGTTTGTTTGTTTGTTTGTTTGTTTGTAAAGGCAGGGTCTCCCTGTCGAGCCCAGGCTGGCCTAGAACACACCGCCTCCTGCCTCAACCTTCCAGTGCTGAGTTAAAAGCCTGTGCTACCATATCCAGATAAGTTTTGCTTCCTGGATGGTTAATCTTAAGATATATATTTTTAAAATTCTTTATTCTTTAAGTACATATTGTATGTGTACATATATATCGTATCTAGGACATATAAAAGGCATTAATAAAAGAGTAATTTATAATTGCTCTTTGATGTAAATTTAAGTCTCTACATGTATACTCTTGTTTACTTAAAAATGTAGATTGAAGCTAAGACGGCCCAGCAGATGAGGGTGCTTGCGGCCAATCCTGTGGATCTGTGTTCAATCCCTAGAATTTTCATGGCAGGAAAAGATGATTGACCCCTGCGAGCTGCCCCCTGACCTCACATGCAGGCCATGGTGTTAGCGTGTGCACATATGCACAATAATATATGTGAAAAAGGCTTTTGGTTTTTTGAGACTACACAGGGTCTCTCTGTGTAGCCTTGGCTACTCTGTAGACTAGGCTAACCTGGAACTCAAGACATCTGCCTACCTCTACCTCCTGAGTGAACCATCACAACCACGCCAAAGATTTCTTTTTTAATGGCAGATGCTTCATTTGAGTTCAGGTCTTTTGGTTGCACCAAGTTGGATTTTTTAAAAGTGTAACTTGGGGTACTTCTAGATTTAAGATTTGTATCATCCACAGATTGCTTGGAGATTGAGCTATCAGATTGTAGTCAGCTCTCATTAAAGCCCTAAGGACACAGAAAGGCTGCAGCAGATGTGTAAGAGTGTGCGTCTCCGCATGTCGGTCATACCTTCTGGAACAGTTAAACTGATTAAAAATTAATTTTATCCTGAAAGTTTCCTAGTGGGTGCCTGTTTAGTTTTTGCTGGTTCTGAAATTTAGCAAAGCTTCAAAGACTAAGGAAAAAATGTTGGGTTGCATATCTAAAATATGGAGCTCTTAAATCAGGCTCATTAAAAATAGACTCACCTCACAAAGCTTCAGTTTAACGCTTGTGCACATGACCTTTCCTATGTTTAGGCCAAATCCGAAACAGGATCGAGCGTGTCTACCATACTGCTGTGAGTATGATTTCAAAACCATCTCAAATGAATTTTCTATTGGCTATTTCAAATGATTTGGGGAGCTTTCTTATCAGTTCCTTCTTCTGTTAAGAAGCGTGTCTGAGAAGTAGTTTTCACTTCCACAATTAAGAGCTGCTTATGCACGCTATACTGCCAAGTGCTTAGCTCTCCACTAGGAGAAAGCCTGGGCGAGCAGTAAACACAGCAGTGAGGCTGGGGGGGACCGACCGTGCCGAAAACCTCACACATGTCACCTGCATGTAAAATTGCCCATATGGTGTTGCTCTAAAATGACTTGCTCTTCCCTATGGCTTTCCCATTATCTGTCTCTTAGGGACGTTGTGGAACATTGCATTCATCATGATTTGAACAATTTTCTTGTTATTTTGGTTTAAATTCTGCTCACTTAATCCTTAAGAACTGAGTGTGTGTACTGTCTCTTCTGACTCCCTTTTGTCTGTCGTGAGCTTTATTTTTGACTTTCATATTTTTAACACCCAACCTTATTAGAGCCAGCTTAAGCAAATATATGTCATATGTATTAGCCAATGGTTTTCTTTGAAGAATGGATTAATGTTTGCTTTAAAACCTACAGAGATTACGGCACTTGAAAAACTGTCATGTCAACTTTAAAAATTATCAATACCAATTATGATTCTTCAAATATAAATTTTAGAATAAAAATAAGTTTTTATAACATTAAAGTGATCTTTTAATTTCTGGTTTGGTACTCTCTAGACTATATAAAAGAAAGACCTACCTGCCTGCCTGCTTACCTAGCTACCTACATTCATCCATCTATCTATCTATCTATCTATCTATCTATCTATCTATCTATCTATC